CCTTTCCAAATTAGGGGTAACTTTTTTATAAAAGTAACCGGAAAATTTTTTTCCCTCAAGGGTTTTTTTTTTTTTTTTTTTTTTTTTTGAAAAAATATTAGATAAATTAATCTGAAATCAATTTGATTTGATTACATACACATTAGTATGAACTTGAAAGTCCTTGTCCAAATAACCAATGGCTAAATTGGTTTTATTCAATTTGCCTAGATGTGGATTGAATGATAATTGTGCACCAGCAAGCCATCCAGCTTGGCTAATTATAATTTTAAAAAAACGATCAATTTTTTTTACTCAAATTATAAGAAAAAAAAATACTAACCCAATTACCAATGAACCATGTACAATGGTACCATTGTTAAGTGAATCAAAATCAAAATCAGCATTAGCATGAAAACAATCACCTTTTAATGCTGTTTTGAGAGCACCAGATTTTTTACCCGATTGTGGAGCAATATTACCATTGAATAATATTTTTGATCCTTTAATAAATTGATCATCAAATTGTAATTCAGTTAATATGGTATTATCAGTTGTCCATTTTTCTTTAAGGGTACAATTCCAATCCTTAAAAAAATATTTTGTTTCAAATGTTGCATTTACACGACCAGTATCATTAACCGATACACCATTAACGGCAAATTCAACATTATTCTGTGTTTTGGTTTTAACATCCAATTTTACTAGGCCAAAATCTGTACCGAAAGGAGTAAATGATTGAAAATGTTATTACAATTCTCTAGAAAATTATCCAATTTCATTAAATACTAACGATAATTTTTCGAGAAAATATCTCTTGCTTGTTTGCCAAGATCAGCATAACATGGTGGAGCCATTATTACAATATTATTCAAATTCAATGAAAAATGTAATTAATTTGTGAAAGTTGATAGAAATTTCTGATTGATAAATTTAAAAAAAAAAAATTCACACGTTTTTTAATAATCTTGGATCAAACGAAACAACAACAACAAAAAATTATTTTGGCCAACACAAAAAAAAATGAACTTATTAGATATGTTTCAAGTGAGAGAAAGGTTGATTAGGTTCTTGCGCAGTTTTCGGTTTATTTGTGTTAGTGATGTGTTCGGATTCAGAATACCACCAGGTTTTTTTCTTATCGTTGTTCTTCTCCTCCTCTATTCTCCTCATACACAATCAAAGTGTCCTTTTCAATGTTAAGCCAACATAAAATAATATAACATGGATGTGTTGTATAAACACAGAGGAAAATCACACCATCATCATCACCCGATATAACATTTACTGCCCTCTGGTATCGTACTACTTGTTGTTGGTAATTTGTTTTTTTTTTTATTAAAGAAAAAGATTTTTTTTTTTTTAAGTTCTCATTTAAAAAAATTATTACATGTCACGATGACAATGATGATGATAATAATCACAAATTTATTAATAAAACAATAAAATTTTGTTGTTGTTGTTGATTGGGATATACAGAAAGCAAGAAACAAAAATATGTGGCAATGAACAACGAATTATGCCGGCGACAAACTAATAGATTGGGATTTTAATCTATCGATTATATCGATTAATTGTAAACGAAATTTTTTTATCTGTTCTAATGATATTATATCTTTGATTGAACGTTGATCATTAAGTAGATATTTTTGACAGATAGCATTAGAATTACATATTAAATGTATACCACAATTATAGCCATCTTCTTGTAAATGACATTGTTCAATATGAACATCCGAATCACAGGATAATAATTTTGAAAACTTTTGACCAATTATTTTCATCATCGATAGTTGTGGTTGAATAGATGAATCATAATATTCTAAACGAGATTTATCACCATCATTTATGAATACAAGTAATGACCAATGTGAACCACCATAATCATATGACATATTATCATTCAATGGCATTAGAATCAATTTTCGTTGTTCAATGTTTAATGGCTGAAGAATCATACGAATTTCATCCATTGAATCAGTCATTTTGATCAATTGTGTTAATGATGGACTGAGACATAATAATTGATTGGAATATTCTTTGTAAAGATTATGTGTAAGATATTCATACCAGAATTCAATTAAACTATCATTAATCCATTGTCGAGATTGTAAGATTCGATAATCTGATTGTCGTATAATAGCATCATGATAACTAAGAACAATTTCCCAATCCTTATCCGTATTTTTCGCCATTATCATCATATATGTAAACTATTGTAGACCAAGATATTTATTCAATGATGGATAACACCAATCATCTTCCTTAAGATTTTCGGCAACTTTTCGTAATGATTCTAATTGTTTGGCTATATCTATAGAATAAATGGTGAAAAAATTATCTCTATACAATCAGAAATATTCAAACCTTTGGATTTTTTATTCGAATCAAATTCTGGAAAAGATTGATTTTCCTTTAATGCTTTTGGAAAATTAAATTCTATACAAAATAAGTTGAAAAAAAAACAAAATTGTTTACATCATTTTTGATCATTATGAATATTTTTACCTTCTTTTTTACCACTATTATGCGTATTATTAGAATGAATAATAGTTGATGATGAATCATCCATCGAAACAAGATTCAGAAACGAGTGTTGTAGAAATTTTGTTAGGAAATTTAAATCAATCGATCAGATGATTATCATCGATGTCGGCAAATGATTTTCGAACCATGGTGCTCATTACTTGCGCTTGCGCTCTCTAAATAATTGCTTAATGCAAACATCGATAGATCGAATATTTTTTGGCCTTTTTTTTCAATTAATTCGATTCAATTTGAAATTTTGTTTTTCATTTATAATTCGACGATAAGAATTTTTTTTATTTAATCTTTTTTTCTCAAAACAAAATGAAACGTTTATTTCATTGGGGACCAATAATAGCATTGATAATTATCAAATTAATATCATTAACAACATTATATTTTACCGGTTTATGGTTAACTATTGATCATTATGGTTGGTTAGCTTTTATCAATTATATTTGCTATTATTGTCTTCTAGCCACAACATTATATAATTTTCTTTGTGCAATGTTTATTGGACCGGATTATGTGCCAAAAGGATGGCGACCCGAATATATTGATGATGAACAATATTTACAATATTGTCAACAATGTGATGGTTTCAAAGCACCACGTAGTCATCATTGTTCCAAATGTCAACGTTGTGTATTAAAAATGGATCATCATTGTCCATGGATCAATAATTGTTGTGGTTATCGTAATCAAAAATTTTTCTTCAATTTTCTTTTTTTCGCTGTTATTGGTTCAATACATTCATCGGTATTATTATCGATTACATTATATCGAGCTTTAACATACATACCGTATTCTACTCCAAATTCTCTTCGTTTAACAATTTGGAATGCATTTTTAATATTGATGGCCACCGGTATGGCTATCGGTGTTGTAATTGCAGTTGGAATTTTACTGATAATTCAAGTATGATGAATTTTAATTTTGATTATCAATCAATTTTTTTTTCATTTTCAATTCAATAATATTAATTAGACGCGGATAATCATTAAAAATCGTACCAGTATTGAAGATTGGATTATTAAAAAAGCCAAAAATCGTGAACGAAGTGAACCATTCATATTTCCATATGATTTAGGTGTTTGGCAAAATATTCGTCAAGTATTATGGGAACCATTATCCGATGGTATTCAATGGCCCGTACGAAGTGATTGTCATCAATATACATTGACTGTAAGTTTCTTTTTCTATATTATTGTTTCAATCGAATTCAATTTATTTATTTGCTTATTTTTAAAAAAAAATCATAGTATGAACAAATTTTACAGAAAAAAGATAAAATAGATAATGCAGCAATTTATCGTATAATTCGGCCATATAATGGACGATTTTTTCCATTATTTTCACAAGGATTTAAAGTATGCATTACATTTCCAATTAATGATGATAATCGTCTTTCAGTTGAAACGGGTGATGAAATTCTTGTAACACATTCGCATAAACATTGGTTTTATGGACAAAAATTGTCAACAAATGAAAAAATTCGTCCAAAAGGATGGTTTCCATGTCGATGTGCTGTATTGTTAGTACAACCAAAATTACATTATCAAAAAACTAATAATCAAAAGCAACATTCTTCCAGTGGTGATATATCAACTGATAATGATTTAAATAGTAAAAAAGAAAATTGAATTTGTTTTTTTATTTTATTTTTCTAATATAATATATTTGCTTGTTTATTTTTTGTTGTATTTTGGTTAAAATCAATGATGATCAATTGATTTTTTTAAAAATTTACCACCCAAATGAATGTTCATTAGTGATATGAACAAAGAGAAAATACCTCTAATTAATTGTGATTGTGGTAGAAAATTTTTCATTATTGCTGTAAATAAAAATGAACCCAAATTAAATAGAATGGATGCATAACTGGAAAGAATAATATGATCATCACATTGTTGTTGGATACATTTCTGTTGATTTATATGATAACCGATTCCAATATGTGATGTTAACAATATAAGATTCAATGATCGGCTACCAATCATTGGCATTATGCTAATAGGATTTTGAAAAATTCAATCAGAAATTAGATGATTATTTTTTGAAATTAGAAATTACCTTGGTAAACCACCATCCAATGACATATGTAGATTATATGAACAATAACAAATTTTACCAATTAATGGTAGATGATTTTTTTTATCTTGATAAATTGATTTAAAATTTTCCCATCGAAATGATGATAAATATGAATCAATATTGAAATCCATTATTTTATAAAATGAAAATTCAATTTTAGAAATTCTTCAAAAAAAAAAGATCAAAACAAGAATTTCATTCGTTTTTTCAAATAATCAATAGATGGCGATTGATGAAAAAAAATGAATATCATGCATGCATTCGTGATGAGTGCCGATGGACTTTTTTTTTCTTTTCACCAAACACAGCTGTGCCTGATGTTGATATTTTTCTCCATGAAATTTTCATTCGTGAATTGTTTCAAACTTTTTTTCTGTTTTGTTTTTGTATTTTCTCATACCTGAAACTATACAACTTGATAATTCTAGGATCAGATTTGTATATGATTGATTTTGAATAAATTTTTCCTGAATTTTGTTTGTTTGTTTTTTTCTGTGATCGCTATATTAATGATAATTGAAAGCAAGAAATTAGAGCGAATGGAATTGGAATGAATTGGCATAAATATTTCTGGGATTTTTCTCCCATCAAATCGAAAAGAGAATCATCATCAGATTTTGAAGCAACGAATTGATTCGAAAACTTTGTACGTGTGTGTGTGTGAGTGAGTGTGAAAAAGAAAGAGAGAGTGAAAATGAATGTAGAAGAAGGTTTCAATTATCTTTATGTAACATTACCGGCACCGATATCAGGTTCAAATCTTGAAATGATCAACATATTAACACCAATATTAAATGTTGATGATGATAATGGTAATGGTAAAAATCATTCGAATCAAAATTCAGATAATATCAATAATAATGGAATTGTTATTAACAATCATCGTTTATCATCAAATAATAATAATATTGTACATAATGATCAAAATCATCATTCGATTACCTTTGAAACAATCGATATAAAAACAGAAAATGAAATTCTAGCCATAAACAATAACATTGATAATAATAGCCAAACATCACCAACATCAGTGATTACCGTTGATCCGGATATTGATCTTAAACGTTATGAACGTTTACAAAAAGATATTGAACGAAAAAAAAGAGCACGTTTACGTGAAACTGAAAATCAACGTTTACAACGACTACAAAAAGATCGTGAACGTAAAAAACGTTCACGTCAAAATGAAACCTATGAACAACGTCAACGACGATTGGAAAAAGATCGTATACGAATACAACAACGTCGTGCATTGGAAAGTGATGAAGAACGTCGACGACGATTAGAAAAGAATCGTTTGAGTAAACGTAATGCTCGTATCAAAGAAAATCCACGATACCCAATTACCTAATGGCTAAACACAAATTCAAATTCATTAAACACCATGTAAATATTATAAAAAACCAAATACGAATAAATCAATTGATCGATTTATTCGTATTATTTTTTAATCGATTGTTTAATTTTTTTATTTAAATAAAAAAAACTGTTTTTTTTTGCAAACAAATAACAAAAAAAAAATCTATTGGCACTACAAAGATGTTCATAATGATTCTTTAAAAAAATTTGCTTTTGCACGAGCAATTTGTTCTTTTAAGGCTGTCACCGAATTTGCATAATTTAATTCAGGTGGATATATGAAACGATTATTGTCAATGTTATTATTATTATTTTGTATAATTTTAACATTAACTGGATTTGGATTTATATTTGAATTTGAATAATGTTTTGGTGGTTGATCAAAATCAAATTGACTATAGGTACCATTGGTAAATATTGCACCGGCAATCAATTGTTGTTGTTGTTGTTGTTGTTGTCGATGACCTATTGTTGATGATTGTCTATAATCATCATCATCAACAACAATCTGTTTGCAATTAGTTGGCCGATGAACTGTTGTTGTTGATCTATTATTATTATTTTCTGTTGCTGTCATCGATGATGATGTTTCAATTTCAATCTTTACACTAACAGAGTTATTAACAAAAATGTTTCCATTTGTTGATACTGGATGATGATGATTTATATGTTGATTTTGATAATGATGGTTGTCATATTTTGATAAATGATTATTATCATTCGAATTGACCGCCATTATTAAATTGGATGGAATATCCTGTGAACTTGTTACCGTATTAATACCAGTTGTTGATTCATCATCAACATCTTCCAAATGAACTTTATTATTATAATCATCATTAATTTGGATTAGATGTTTCCTTGTCCAATGGTCATCATCATCGTTGTTATGGTTATCATCATCATTGTCTAAATTAAATAAATCCAAACATTTGTCATCGGTTTGTTTATCATTCAAATATAGATTTGTTATTCTGTTTGTCGAAATCAGGTTACCATTGTTATTATTATTATTATTATTTAATCGATGATCGATAATACCATTTTGACCTGATTTATTGTTTGACATGATAATAGGGTAAACTGTTTGTATATGTTCGGATGATGATGGTGTACGGCAAAAATTACCGTCACCAATATTTTGACCATCATCATCGATATAATAATCGATCAAACTATTTCGATGATTATTTCGATTATGATGTCGAATGGATGAGGTACTACGTTGTGATTGTTTCCGGTGGTTATGATGATTATGATTATTATTGTGATTATTATGATGATTATGATGACAGGCTTTGGATTCACAGCCATTAATTTTCGTATGGCAACATCGATGGCATTCATTGATTGATGAATGTTGTTGATGATGATGTTTTATATTTCGAGATTTTTTATCTCTTGTTGATCTTAATTCAATCGGATTTGAACAACAACAACAAACACACGAAGAACATTTACCATGATGATTGTGTTTACGACGTGTGGGAGGTAATGATGATGATGATGATAAACATTGATTTTTTGTACAACACACCCCTTGAACATCCAACTGTTGTGTTGTTTGTTGTTGTTGTTGTTGTTGTAATAGTTGATGATGTCCATCTTTTGACAAACGTTTTGATCGTGAAAGTGCATGCCTTCCTGATTGACGCATCACAACTGTTATTATTTCTTCCGGGCCTGATTTAACCGTTTGTGTAGATTTTGTTAAGAATTGTCGTCGACATTTAGCTGACTGTATATGATGATGATGATCAAAATGATTATTTTGTTGACGATAATGATTATCATTATTATTATCATAAGCAATAATGTCATTATCATCAATAGTAGTAATCATATTATGATTATTAAGAAGATTTTCTTCCGGAAATTGTGATCCAAAATCGTTACATTTAAATTTTTTTATTGAATGAAACGGAATGGTCGTTAGAGATGAAGGAGATGTTGAAGATGATTGTGATCTCGATTGATCTCGTTGTTGTGATGATGGTGGCCGTCCTTTTGAATTTAATTTAAATAATTTACCTAAAAGTGATTGTCCTGCATATAAATAAAATTTAATTTTATTTGAAAATTTGTTTGGTTTTTTTCTAATAGAAAATAAAAATACTATTTTAGGATAATGATGAGATACATACGTTTAAGCATCATATCGGTCGGTGAGCATACAAATTTTGTTTGTTCTTTATCGATCATATCATCATCATCACCACCACCATCATTATTATTATCTTGATTGGTGGTCGCTATTGTCGTTGTTTTATAATTCAATTTAAATGATTTACTTCGTCGAAATGGTTGTTGTTTCGTTTTTGAATGATGATTACCGTTACTATTACTATTGTTATCATTGGATGATGAATTTCGTCGTTGAAGTAGTTGTAATTTTTTATTTGTTGCAATACAATCAGAAAAATCATCATCAGTTGTTGTTGATTGTGATTGTTGTTGATTTTTTTCAAAATTATTGAAATTTTGTCTATTATTCGAATCGATTGTCATATCATCATCATCATCATCAGCAACAGCAACAATATCTTCATCATAATCACCATCTTCAGTATGATATTGTTTACTTGGTGGTGTTCGATCCGATAACGAAAGACTTTCAAATTCATCCATTATACCCCATGGTAATATAAAATTTGATGCAACAGTATATGTTTGATAATAACTATCATAATTTAATTTATTTTCTGCTGTCATTGCTAACAATGTACTGCGAATAATATCATCGGCAGGTAATTCAACACTTGGAAATTCTGTACATAAACGTTTTAATATTTGTTCATAAGTAGCTGTTATTTGTCTAGTTCCTAGTTCATCGATACATCTGTATAATGCTTCAGCTAATGGTGTGAAATGTGATTGACTAATAGTAGCCGCTTCCAATACGGTTGTATATCCTTATTTGAACATTCGGACAAAAAAAAACCGGACAGAAAACGAAAAAATAGAAAAGAAAGAAATCATAAATAACTTGATTAGAAAACGTTAAAATAAAATTTCAAAATAAAAAAAGGAAGACAGGTGGATAAAACAAAAAATAATTATATAAATAAAGGATAATTAACGCGTTCGCTACCGGAGATTTCGAAAAACACATAGAACTACAGCAAATAAACGACGCATATATGCGTCGCTGGTAGCGAACGCGTTAAAAACAATTTGATTTTCACGAAAATAAAAATATACAATAGCATTATGAAGATTGATTGGAAACTTTTATTTTTTTCCACAGTTGTTTGAAGCATCCATTAAAAACAAAGAAAAATATTGCAATGTTTATATTTTTGAAACAAAAAAATTTTACCCATTTCCGATACGTCATTTATGACAGGTTTATTCCAATGTGGATATTTCGAATGACCTGTCAGCATGCCGAAAATGTTCGACATCGATTTTGGGATTTTTTTTCACAGATGAAAAACAAGCGAAAATTCAAAAATTCAATCATTGTTTTTTCTCGATGTTGACCAACAACAACAACAGCAACAATCATCAAAGACAAAAGTAAACCGACCGATAAAAAAAGAACAAGTTAAGTGTGTTTGAATGTCTGCATAAATTAAAGATTTACATAAATTAAAATTATTATTGTTGTTGTTGTTGTTGAACAACTAACTGATTTTATCATATAATTTCAATGTTTATCCATTAGATCTGGATTCCATTTTGGTTTGTTTTTTCTCCATGACCATTCTGATCATTCATCATCATCATCATCAACATCAAAAATCATATGAATATTGGTGCCTTGTTTCAATTTTTTGAACAAGAAAAAATAATCAAATGTAAATGACAACAATCATTCGATGCCATTCATTTTTATGAATTTTTAACCATCATCATCGTCGTCGTCGTCGTCGTTGACCGATGATGCTAAATTTATGGTTTTTTATTTTCATAATAATTTTTTTCTGTTCTGCTTTTCTTTATTCACCTGAATTCAAATATATATGAAAAAATTGTTCATTTGAATCTTTGCCGTTGTTCAGTTGAGTTCAGTTTTTCAATTTTTCACTTTGAAAAAAAAGATGTTTCTATCGATATAAAACAACAACAACAGGATGGTTATTTTTTCTCCTTCTTCCCCCTCCTCCTATTTATTTATATGACCACATTACACACATAGCGACGACGACTATGATGATGATGATAAATGATTCAAATAGTGACCGACAACAACAACGATGATAAAAAAGAAAACAAAGTTAAAGAGAACCGAACGAAGAAGAAAAACATTATGAATTTTTTCAATTTTAGAGAAGCGAAAAAAGAAAAAACAGTTTTTAACAACTTAAAAAAGAAAATTTATTAAACTCTAATTATAAAAATTTTTATTGTGTAAAGAAGAAGAAAATTTCAACAACAACTGGATAGTGATTAAAAAAACTTGGCCAAATTCGAGGTTGTTGTTGTTGTTTTAATTTGACCGGAATGGATGATAATGGTGATGATGAAAAAAAGAAAAAACAAAGCCAAACACCTTTAAAACATCAATGGTAATCCGACAACAGAAAGACAAAAATAAAGATTAAAGATGAGCAACAAGTAACAAGGCCAGTAAATCAGTAAATGGAAAAAACAAAGTGAATTTTTTTTTTGTTGTTTTTACTGAACAAAGATTTGGGTTTTCAAACAAACAAATGTGGGTTACAATTTTTGTTTTTTGTGAAAAAAAAATTTTGCATTGGATTTTTTTTGCTGTAAATTTTCATTACCTGAAAAAAACCATGATGAAGAGAAAAAGGATTGGCATAGATTTTGGCGGACAGAATGTGACAGATCTAATTTTTTTTCAATCATTTTTTTCCCGTTAATCCTTTTTTAGAACAACAAGGTAGTCGAACAGAACAGAACAGAAATATTTATGACTATTCATCAGGTTTCGATTCGTTATTCAGCATTGAATTTTTTTTTTCTTTTACCTTTATCCTTTAACATCAATACGGATGATATTTATTTATTTCGGTATTTTGTTAAACAAGAAGAAAAAGAAGAAAAAAAATACTGTTTTCATTATCCACCTTCATACGCAGATTGTTTTTTTTTTCTTTTTTTTTCGTTTGTCGGGTCACAACCATAAATCGTAAGATTTATCCGAAAGAAAAAAAAACTGATCGTGTCAAATCATTTTCTTCTCGCCCTCTCTCTCTCTCTCTCAATCGATCTATAGATCATTTTGTTTCCAATTGATCGATAATGGTTTTTTTCAGACAAATCAAAAATCGATTCATCGATAATTTGTCCAATATTTGTATGTATGTATGTATAAAATTTTGCCACACTTTTGATCGAAGGTGTCTTATATCATCAACATCAAACATCAAACAACATCATCATTATCAAACATCAAATTGGGCAATTATCCATAACAGTTTGGATAACATTGAATATATTCAGAGGAAATATAAAAAAAAAGGTTGAATCCATTCAGGTTGTTGCTGTTATCACATCACCATCTTATAAGATATATAGCCTTTGGCCATTTTAACATACATAGTGAATTATTTATCATTCAAGTGAAAATAGATTCGAATTTCGAATATATTCTATTTTTGACTTGTTCGATTTCATATCATATTATCATCATCATCACCACAATCTATCACAAATATTATTTGACATTTGACCAAGTTTTTGTTGTTGTTGATTGCTTTACTTTTATCTTTTGTCTATACATTAATCTTGATGATGATGATGATGATAATTTGAGGGGCAATCGATGCCATGACATTAAATCCCAAATAACCGAAATGTTGGTTATTTTCATTATTATTATTATTATTAGTGTCTTGTTACTGGACTATGTCAACATTATTATAGCGACATACATCCGTCGAATATTGGGGACAAGATTATTAGAAAAAAAAAGTTACAAGATTTGATTAGTTCGTCGACCATACAATTTCATTAGTAAGTTTTTTTAAATAAAAAAAAAATAGATATTTATAATATCAAATTGCGGCTAGCCTAAGGCAGCTTATTTCATTTCATTTCATTTTTTTTCTTCTCGTTGTTCTCTTGCTTATCCTGTCGATTTTGATATGGTATATCGAATGAAATACTTAAATTTCATCCGACATATCATCCTTGATATGATCAAAGTTTGGCATCAAAGAAATTAGTGAAAAAAAAAAAATTTCCCTTTATCGGAAGCAAATTGTGTTGTCCAAAAAAAAATATTATTGGAAACAATCGACTTGTAACAACAACAAAAATTGTATCGAATTAGATTAATTCAACAAGCAAAAAAAATCTTCAAATTATCCAGAACAAATTCTACAATGTTTAAAATAGACAACAACAACAACAAATATATTTACCACACGCACGAACATGTAAGATTTGAAAGAAAAATTTTCTTCCGAAGGAAGTATTATCATAAAAAAAGTGGGAAAAGATCATTTTTAAGTTATTTAAAAAAAAACAAAAAAATCCAATCAAAGTAAGTAAAATGTTAATTTGTTGTTTCAAAAAAATGATTTTTTTTTCATTTATGCAAAAGATTTTCTTCTTCGTGAATCTGGGCAAAGTTGACCATCATCGTTTTATGATTTTCAACGATGTTGAAAACAAATGTATGTAGATCATAACCGCTTTATGAATTTTCACTCTTTTTTCGCAAATAATAATAATATTCACACTTGATTTTTTTCCCTTCATTTTTTATTTCTCGCCGTCATCATCATCATCATCATCATCGCTTGATGTGATTAACCGATTTAATTACAAGCCCACAATCTTTCTGTCGTGTGTGTGTGTGTGTGAGTTTGCGATCAACATGCATGAAGACCGAGACTTGATTTTGTTATTTTATTTTAGTTTTTGTTTTTATTTTGCATCAAAATAAAATAAAGGAAAATTTTTATGTCTTAATGTTGAATAAAGAAATTTTTTTTGTTTGTTGTTAATTGTAAAAAACGAATGGGAAAATATATTATTTGAAGAAATCCATTTTGGCTGCTGGATTTTTTTTCTGTTCTAAGTTCAACTTATTTTCTCTTTTGTTTTGTTTGCAAAAACAAAAAACAAAAATTAAGGATGTTAATTTATAAATGATATTTTTTTAATAATTATTTTTAGCTGAAAACAAAAATCTCAAATATAAAACAAACTTGGGATCCATTCAACAAACTTAAACTATATTTATATTTGTTTGTTTTCAATTTACAGTTAAAATTTTCTATGATTATTATTATTATATGATAAACTTACCGACAAAATTTATCGTATAATTAACCGGTGATTTAAGTATACGTTTTGACCATAATGAACACAATGTTTCTAATGTATCGGATGTTTGACCCATTATTAATAATGTTGATGGATAAATAAAACCGGCCATTGTTAAACGTTGAAAACAATTTATTACAATCGATGTTGTTGTTGTTGTTGATAAATGATTATGATGATTATTTAAATTGATTCGAATAAATTCATTAAATAATTCCATTGGTTTTTGGCACTCTTGTTGTTGTTGTTGTTGTTGATCATTGTTAGCCGCAATCGATGATGATGTTGTCATCGATGTTATTGATGATGGACTATTGTTATTCTGATATCTTCTATTATTATGATTTGATCGATTATTATTATTATTATTGAAATGACCATTTTCAACAATCGGATAATGATGATGATGGCTATTACTTGATAATGATGTTGGTGATGATGTTGATATAGTCGTCGATGAATTTTGATTTTGATTTTGATTAAATTTTCTAATCAAACCAATTGCTAAACAATTTTGTGAAATTAATTTTAAATTTCTTTGTTTAATAATCAAAGAATTCATGTCACCACCGCCACCACCGTTGTTGTTGTTGTTGTTTTGCATCATTTTGATGGAATAATAATGATAATTGAAGAAAAGAATTGAATGATCATTGAATTTTATTCGATCAAAATCAATCGAACATATCGAAATTATCGCTGTATCATTGTGCAGATATTATTAAAATGATGAACATTTAATCAGATCACATGAGATCTAGATTTCTTTTTTTTCGATAACCAGAAAAACAAAATATTCTGATCAATGAAATATGGTAATTGTGATGATGATGATACAGCACAAATGAAATAAACACAAACAAAAACAAACAAACATTCACGAGGTAAACAAACGAAGAAAACTTGTTGATAATGTTGACGATGATGGTAATGTTGATGGTCGATTTTTCAAAATTGAATTAAATTAAAAAAAAATTGATTTTAATCGATCGCCAAACGATCATTATCATTAATAATGGAACTTTGTTTATTTAGACGATGTTGTTGTTGATGACCTGACTGAGAAAATTGAAAAAAAAACATTCGATGTTTCGAATGTAATGGACGATGAAAGTCATTTTCATTTATGGCCATTACCATCATCATCAAGCAACAATCAACCATCACCACCACCACCACCACCATCAAGCAACCAACCAAGCCCATTCATCGAATCCAATCGGGTTGCTCTTTTTTTTTCTTCTTTCTCTCTCTCTCTTAAATCTCTCAATCTATCTCTTCCTTTTTAATATGTGACTCTTTTCTTTTTCATTTTGTTGTTGTTGTTGTTATGATTATTATTATTGCATCCATCATCGAATTTTGCCCTCATCAAAATAAAATAATAATAATAATAATAAAATATTTGCAAGAAAACACACTGAAAAAAATAAATCTTTCGATGATATTCATAATCATTCATTTTAAAAGGATGTTTAACTTTTGGCCATCTCCTGAAGAGTAGATTTGAACATTGGTTAGATTGGTATACCTGGGATGGATGAATGAATGACTGGATTGTGTGTAATGAATATGAAACCGGTGAAATGATTATTTTCAATCTGTTAGATGGATAGATTTGAATAGTGAGATAAAGAGTGAGAGAGAGAAATGGTATTTTCATTGATTTTGTTAGGGCGGTATTAATAACCAGTGAAACAGAGGAAAAAAAAGCGGGAATCATCAAACATTCAGTAATGAATATAGTTGGAAGAAATACATTTTTTTGTTTTGGCGAATTGAAAATCTTCTTTATACAATTAATCATGAATGTGGTGGTGGTGGTGGTGGTTTTTTGCTCGATAAACTTTCTCTTGATTATATAATCAACCTGAAAATTTCTTTTTTTTTCCTGATCATTTGATGATTTGGTTTAGTCAATCATCATCATCATCATCAAGGATTTGAATGAACCGAACAAAACCAAAAAAAATTGGTTAAAAGATGTGAAGATTTTTGAATTCTTTTCGACGATGAAATGGATGATGATGATGACCTTTGTATTATGATGATATTCATTCATTCATTCATTCATATTCGTTCAAGTTCGAGATTTTTGATCATATCATTATCATCATCAACAACAACAATTTGATTTTTTCAAAGCAGATGTTTCGAAAATTATTATTGTTGTTTTTGCTCAAACAAAATGATTCGAAATACAGTTTTTTTCGCTTTTCTTTCGATGATCATCATTGAGATTCATAATGATGTGATGTGATTGTTGTTGAACAAAATCAAAAACAGGTGCTATAGAACAAAAAAAATCAACAAAATTTTTGAACTTGGCATTATTTGTCGATGTTTTTTGTTGTTGTTGTTTTGTTTTTTGATGTCGATCAACAACAATTTTCATTATTATCATTCGAATTCCGGTATTTCGATACAACATTTTTGAACAATCCCTATAGATAATGATAATGTCAAAAAAAGAAAGATTCGAATATTTGTTTGTTTATCATTTTTTTAATTTCATTTTTCATTTTTTATTTTCATTTGATTGATTAGTGTTTTTTTGTTTTTCCGAAAAAAAACATTTTTTTTCTCACTGATTAGATGTACTTTTTTCCGGTTCATTTGTTGTTGTTGTCGTTTCGGTTTTTGATTGAATCATTTGATTGATTTTGTTCAATTTGTTCGATAATGAATGATATTGTTGATGAATCGGTGAATGGTTAAATATGGTTGTCATGAGGATGATGATAATAATGTTTATTTTTTACTGTGTGATTGTTTCCACGATGATAATGATAATATGTACATTTGATTTGATTTTGAAGCAACAAGCAAAATAAACAAAATTATGGTCGAATGTCCAATGTTGTTTTTGTTTGTTTATTGAAGGGGTTGGGTAAACGTTTTATTGTGTTTGTATTATAAAGTATGATAGTACTTTTGTTTACTAGAATCTAGCACTATTCTGTAATTGACGTCCAAAACTAAAGAATTGATTATATGTTTGTCGATGATTACGATATTTACCCCATGCACCAAATGGTACAACTAATGCTGTTGCATTATCATCACATGAACAATGTAATGCTTGATCAGTTAAAAATTTTGCTGCTTCATTTGGTTGTTGACAACTTTTTACTGCATTTACAATTTCACGATCATTCATTACATCGGTAATACCATCTGTTGTCAATACCACAAATGAATCACGACCATGTTTTATCTATTATAATCATCATTTATCATAATTAAATTAATTAAATCAATTAATTAATTTGCCTTACCTCATATGTTCTGGTATCGGGTAATGCAATTACACCAAATGGTTTAAGATCTAAATCACCAATACTACGTGTCATTGCTAATCGTCCATTAATTAATCCACGACCAAGACTATCATATTTAATAAATCCATTGGAATTTATAATTCTATCCTGTTTGAATGATTTTATAGTTTAATAAAAAAAATCAATGAAATCCATTCGGATTTTTTGTTTTTCAATTTACTTACTTTTTCTGCTTTAACATTAGCCGTATGATCATTAGTTAATTTAATACATTGACCATCACGACAAAGAAACATACGACTATCACCAACATATGCAACAACTAATTTTGTACTATTATGTAATAGGCAAACAGTAGCTGTTGTACCGGATGTACTACGTTCATTATTATAACCATCATTTTTTGTATAAGTTATATAACGTGCAAATGAATTATTCACTTCTGTGAAGGCATTTTGTAAAACAATTTCTAGATTTGTTTCACCACGTTCAATCCAGAATTTAATATGTTCAGGTAAATGTTCATTACAGAATCTGGCACAAATATCACCACCATGACCATCAAATATAGCAAAATAAATCATATTTGGTTTGATTTCCATGGCACTAATTTTCAATGTAAAAATCAATAAATCAATCAATAAATCAATGATATTGATATTAATTTCATTCAATCATCATGACAAATCAAATCGAAATCGAACACACACACACACACACACACACAAAATCAATGAAAAATTTAGGTCAATACTTACTTGCAATAATCTTCATTTTGTAATCGTCGTCCAATAACATTTGCATGACCAATATTATTAACACTAATTTTTGGTATTGGTTTACCATGTTTGATACTTTGTTGTAATAATAATGAAAAATCAATACGATTATCCCATGTACCAAGTGTATCAAAATTAACATGACGTTGTTGTGAACCTTTATTTTCTGGATCAGATAACATACGAGCTAAAAAACGTTTAGATAATAACCGTATCATTGATGAATTGATGGTTGATGAGGATTTTTCACTCAATAAAATTGTCGTCAATATTGTACGACCAGTATTATGTAATGTTTGCATGATTGGAATTTCTATTGGAATTTTTCGATTTCGAATAACGAATAAAAATTAGAAAAAAGAACAGCAGAAATTATAATTTTTGAAAAAAATTTCTGAATTGAGGATTGCTTCAAGTATCGACGATGAATGAATCACAAATGAATGAAATGAAATGAAAATGACAAGCTGGCAATCTTCGTTTTTTTTATTATTTTGTTAAGATCAAGATATAAGGATGTTGATCACATCATTCAATATGCCAGATAAACTTAATGATCATGCCATCATCGCTTAAGACTGCCAAAAAATGAACTGCAAAAAAAAATGTCTGATGAAATCACTACTATCGATTGCTAATAACAAAACAAGCAAAAATGAAGAAAAATAAAGAATGAAGAAATCGGGAAAACACTTGTTTAGAAGTGCGTTTAATGATTATCATTCATTCTTGTTTTTGTTTTTCTTAATTTTTCTCATTTTTTTGGACTTTTGTCCTTCAAATAATCAATTCAAATGAAAAATTACGACTTCTTTTTCTTCTTAACTTTTTTTCTTACACCATACTATTATCGAATCTTTAAAAGATTTCCAAAGAAAAAGAAATTCACGTCATATGTATGTGCGTGAAAAAAGGCAGAACATTTTTTTTGATTGTCAACAAGTTTGATCTTTGAATTAAAAATTTGTTTTTTTTCGGATAAACAACAACAACAACTTATCGAAAAAAAATATGATCATCGAACCATCACCATTACTGATCAAGGATGTCCACTTTTGTTGTTGTTGTTGTTGTTTTTGTTTTACGTTAACATCAATATGTTTTTCTTCTTTTTTTTTAATTTAATTTATTTTTTCGATCATAGATCGATGCCAAAAATCATTTGATCGTATGATTAGTTGTTGTTGTTGACAATTATAATTCGTATTTGTTTTGTTTGAATTAATTTAATCTTTTATTTAATCAAATTTTATCAATATTTGATGATCAATTGATATTATTATTGATTGAATGATCAAAATGGTATCATGGTATCATCATCATCATCATTGTATTAATGTAGCTTCATTGAATGTTACCATTGATTTTCTTCGGAATTTATTGATATCAATATTTCTATCGGTTTCTATGAATGATGGCTGATGTCTTCTTTTATCACTAATATTTGGATCAGTATTAGATCGACTTATTGTTGCTAAGGGTTTTCCAATATTTTGTATTCGAAATGAATCGGTCGGTGGTTTTAATGATGATTTACGTGGTTTAAGTGATGATGAACATGATGGACAACGTAAATTTGATGGAACATATCTGTTTCATTTAATTGATTAGATTTTTAATTATAATTTAATTAATTATGTTTTACCTATGAAAATTTGGTACCGATAATGATCGACATTGTAAACGATTTTGTTGAAATTTATTCTGTAAACCATAGGATTTATTCTTTTTCCATAAAATTAATGTTAATGTTAATGCTGATAATAATAAAAGACAAACACTGGCCATTATTGTTATAATAATTGTACATTCATTTGATAGACCGCATCCATTATTACTATTATCTGACCAATTTTTAGAATTATCATTCGAATCTAATGGCCAATCATTTTTTGATTCATTTGAAATGGAAAAATTCTGAATCTTTACAGATAATGTTAAATTTTGATTAATATTTTGAATTTCATTGATCAAAGATTGAATCGTTTCTAGAACGGAAATAGAGAGAAAGAGAGAGAAAAAAAAAATTCAGGCTAAATTAATATTTTTATATAGTGTAGAAAATTTAGCTGTTTTAATGAAAATTTTATCAATCAATGATGATCGATCGATTTGATGATTATTGAAATGATGATCAAATAAAAATAATCAACAATGATAAACAACAAAAAAAAAATGATTACAAATAAATTGATTGCAATCAATCGATTTTGATAATATTGTGATGAGAATGGTAACACTTGTTTTCTTATTTTCAATCACTGTTGCTAATTGATGATGTTTGTTTGGTTTGTTTGAAGAAGTGAAGCTAAAGAAAAACAGTTTTTTTTTCTCAATTGATCAAAGCTCAATACTTCGGGTCAATGTTGATGGATGATGAATTTTTTTTAGGTTTCTTTTGGCAAAAAAAAACAAAATGACAAAAATATACCAATTTGATTTATTTACCATTTAATTGAGATTTCCAATCTAAATTTGAAATGTTGATTAGATAATAATGATGTTGTTTAGAATTTAGCAAAAATTTTTTTGTTAAATTCATCGATTTATTTGTTGTTGATTGAATATTTGACCAAGGGTCATCATTATTATTAGCGATAATAACCATTTTGGATGGAAAAATTAATTGAATAATATTAATTAAAAATATTAATAATAATGGTTGTTGTTGTTTTCGGTGTTGTTGCAATGTCATGATTAATTATAATAGCAAAAAATAACAATAGTAATCTAAAGACTTACCAATTTTTAAAACATTCACATCGTATCGGTTCAGGATTGGATTGTGTTTTAGATAAAAAGAAAATAGGTAAAAATAGGTAAAAATTACCGATTAAAACAGAATCATTTTTTTTTGTTGAAAAATAATCTGCTTCTGTTACGTTTTGTGTTGGAGTGTGTTTAGTTGTGTTAATAGTTTCTCATCGTTTTTTTTTCTCAACTAACTAATTGATCCCATTAATTGATTATTATCGGAAATTTATCTAATTGATAATGATGATGTTGATAATGATGTAAGTGGTAGAAACAGAGAGAACAAAAAACACTAAATTAAACAATAAAATTTTGGAAAAGATTTAGTGATAATCAAAAAAAAAAAAATATCATGGCAACCAATGATTATTATCATCATCATCATAATTCATAATACATGATGATCATTTTTTTTTCTTCTTTTCTTTAAATTTATGATCCTCAAGATGGTGATTATCCAGACCTGGCTGTTGAACGGGGGGATAAGAATGAAAGGATGAGGGTGGATTTCATAGAAAATAAATCAACCAGGCAAAAACCCAAATACACTCGAAAAAAAAGAACAATAAAATTAAATGATTTTATGATTGAATGAAATTCACCAAAATGAACGAGATAAATTATTTTTTTAAAAAAAAGGTTATTATATTATAAAGCGTAGGTGATTATCATTATTATTATTTTTAAATTGAAAATCTTTTCAAAACAAGGTGTGTTTTGAAATTGAAATTTGAAAGAAAAAAAAACAATTTTTCTCGGTAAAAATCCAGACAAACCAAAAATCATCGAACCAAAAAGAACGATTTTTGTCAAAAAAAAAGAAAGAAAAAAACATTCGAATAATTGAAAAAAATTTCATCTATTTACACCTAGATGGCACCTTGAGTATCCTGTATCTTGCACTTTGTTTTTTTTGCTTTATAATTTCATCTCTGAGTCATATAATTCAACATCATCATCAACAACAACTGCAGTGTGAAGACACACAGTTATGGTCTTGGTTTGGTACCCTCTCTTCTTCTTTTTCTTCTTCGTTTCTGGTGTCCACTGTTGTTGATTGAATAACGAAAAATTGTTTCATCATCATCATCGGTCAAAAAAAATTTTAAAGTTTCATAACATCCACATTGCTCAATGTTAAATTTTTGGATTGATTGATTGATTTTTTTTTCAATCAGAAACAGAAGAGTATCGGGTGGGTGGATATCATCACCACCATCGTTTGCGATCATTGACCAATTTGATTGTTTTTTTTTTCGTTCACTGTTTTCCGGGGTATGTTTTTGGAAGGATTTATTTTTTCCAATGTTTTTTATTTTTTGCATTCATTTCTGGTTTTTCTGGTGCAGAAACCTATTTGCTTTTAATCAGTTTTCAGTTTTTTTTAATGTTTGGTTGAATCATTTTATCACAAATTCGTAAATAACTTTACAGATTTTTTTTTCACTCGATTATCTTATCAATAGTTTTCGTCGTCTGAAAAAATCAATTATTCGATTAATGATTTATGTCAACCAGTGTTAAAAAATTTATAATTTTTCATTGTATTTTTGTCTAATGAATTATCTTTTTTTTTGATAAAGTTCCCCTCATTTTTTTTAGTCAGAATCGTCATCGATTAGCCAGAAATAAACGCCCAATCAAAATTTGTTCCAAATTAAATCGTCATATACATTCCATCCAACAACAACAACAACATTGATTTGGAAATTGAAAACATCCTTTCATCATTAATAGTCTTTCATTGAAATTGATTAATCAAAAAAAAAGTTTTTTTTTACATCATCAATTGGTGTCGTTATACAACAACAGCAACAACAAAATATGTTTGAAAACTCAATCTTTCCATCTTTAAATCCGAATTGAATCAATAAAAAAACCACGACAACAACAAAACCAGTCATGAAGAATCATTGAATGTTTTTTGTTTGTTTGTTGATTCTTACCACAAATCAAAAGCCACACATTTTATCAACAAACAAAATTGTGTTGGCTATTCTCAAATTACAAAAATTTTTTTTTCGTATCAAATCAAAATCAATCAAATAAAGTGATCAATTACAAAAAAAAATGGCTGATTTAGGTATCGATATCAATAAATTACCAACCGAAACACGAACAAAATTGGCTGAATTAGAGTTGGAATTATCTGAAGGTAAGCGTTTTTTACATTCCATTCTTTATAATCATTTTTTCTCTCATGAAACTTGAAAAAAAACAAAACAAAAAGAAAGGGATTTTTTTTCTTGATTACGAAATTTCCTTCAATTGATTGATTAATTCGAATTCACAATTGAAAAAAAAAATTTCGAATCTTTAAAGTGATGGACAACAACATCTTTCATCCTGATAGTGTAATCGATTATCATATTTTCTAACCAATTATGAGTAGAAAGAGAAAGAATTTCCTGCATAATTGAAATTTTATTTCATTTTTTTTTCAAAAAGAATTTTTCATTTAAATATTTTCCTTTTCAAATGTGCAACAAAAAAAATACTTTCAAACCGAAAATATCATTTGGTTTTTATTTTTAAAATTTTCCAAATATTTATTTTTGTTTTTTTTTTTGTTTCAACAACTAACGGGTGTTTGTGTGTGTTTACGTTTTCCTAATAGGAATGTTTCATATTTAGATTTTTTTTTTTTTTGGTCTTGTTTTGTTTACACATATTGATGATGTAGTGATCCGATAATGATTACTTTTTTGTTTTTGCTTAATAAAATGTACCATATGTATGTGACCACCCAGTATTTGATTTCAATTTGTAAGCAAACAAAGAAGAAGAAGCAAAAAATAATTCCAAAATAATTTACTGCTAAATGGTACACACATATGGTACCCAGATGGATGAGATTTATTTACAACAGTATTTATTTATAATAATAATCACATCTGTAAATGAATTGAAACGACATAGAATCAATCTTTCAAATCATAAAGTCGAAAAAATATTTTTTCCCGTTTGTTTTATTTGTCATTTAGAGTGTAGATATTTTTTTTTGTTGTGTTTGTCGTTTATTTGTTGTGAAATATTGAAAATGGAAATGAATTTTCATTATCATCATCATTGTAAACTTCCAGATTACAATGAAGATGATGATAATAATGTTCGAATGTTCAGATCAAAATATTTATTAGAAAATTTTAATTATTTGAATAATGATAATAATGGTTTGTAAATGAGAGAAAAAGTGAAATTCCTTTCCGTTTTTTATTTAAATTTGATTTTGACGGTTTTTTACTGAAAAATTTCTTCTTTTTTAAAAATAATTAGGTGACATTACTCAAAAAGGATATGAAAAGAAACGTTTTCGATTGTTGGCACCATTTTTTAATCAACAACAACAACAACAACAACAATCTCAACAACAACAGCTAAAACAACAACAATCCGGTAAGTTCAATCTTTTGTTTTGTTTGTTTTCTTTTCAAAAGAAAATTATTTTCAATATTTTAATTTTGATTATAATGTGGTGAATGAATGAAGGAGCTGCTAGTCCATCAACACGTGCCAAACGACGTGCACATCGTCGTGTCACTCGCCATGAAAGCCGTTATCATTCGGGTATAACAAGACGAAAAAATTCATTTTCATTTTTTTCAAAACTAATAATCTATTTCATTGACATTGTTTTTGTTTAATTTATTCGGGAAAAAATTTTTTTCCATAGAAATTCGACAAGAAGCTGTACAACAAGCTTTAGCTGCAATGCAAAACAAACCAAAACCATCGATGCCAATGCCATCAAAACGTACATCGGCCGTAATGGCTACCGGTCATCATCATCGTAATTATCCACAAATGCAACATTCACCAAATCGTCGTCGTCCAATTGATTCAAGAAGACAGCCACCACCACCAATGACAGATTCATCAACCGATGATGATGATGATGATAGTATTCTGAATGAAAGTAGTAGTACAGCATCTGAAAGAGAAAAACGTGGCATAGGTATTGGCCGTCATGGATCAAAATATCGTGGACCATCATTTATGGCTATTGATCAATCATTACCAAATTCATCGGATACATCAACACATTCCTCACCTGCTCATGAACGATCTAATAATCATCATCATAATCATCATCATCAACATCGATATTCACAACATCAACAACAACAACAGCAACCTGCTTTACTGCCGCGTGTAATTGGTATGCACGAACATTCATCATCACCATCGACAAGAATCGGTATTGGTACACCAGATTCATCATCAAAACATAACCGAAAATCACATATACAATCACAGCCAT